GGGGGTGGGGGAACAGGCCGTGTGTGTGTGTGGGGGGGAATCAAGCACAATAAAAGTTCCCTTTGCTTTCTTTTATAAGCGAGTGAAAGATGGATAACATCAATTGCTTAAGTACCATGAAAACTCCTGCAGACTAAACATTTACCTTTAAACATACCTGCTGTACAGACTTATGGTGCAGAAATAAGACCTGGTCTCTGTTTGTATAATTTTGGCATTTTGAAGGCTATACCACAGTTCATGGAATTTAAACACTGCCATGATTTTATTAGACTCTGCATGAAACTTACTCCAAATCTGAGAGTATTATACTTGGAGGGAAAAAAAAATGCAAAAAATCGTTTGGGAATACTCATTTATCACTTCTCCCCAAGAGTTAAAACAAACATACCACACAAAACCGTCTCTAAAAGCATTTATCCATGTACCACCATCCTAAGTTCTCTAATTACCCCTCCATTTAGAAGAACCTTCTCTGTATTAGGGTCTGGGTTGTAGTCCCAAAATGACACCTGAATTCAAAAACCATTTATGCTTTTGAGTGTCTATATTTAATAAACGCTCAATGCTATTGTGGAAAGTGCACTAAAAAACGCATCTTTACATAAAAAGAGTTTAAAGCTGTAGGAGAGGGGACACAAGATTAAGGCCATTAAAGGCGCCACCTAGCCATGAACCTCACCACCTCCAGTAGAATAAATACAGTATGGATGATGCAATCTGGACCCTCCTCCAGAGGCCCAGACACAAACAAGACTTCCCGGCTGCAGCAAGAGCTATGCTGAAAGGAATGTGACTTCCACAAAGACCCTCAGAAGAAACTCACAATGATCCCGGCCGTCCAGGGGTTCAGAAGGAAGACGGCGCACACGAGGAACGTGCAGGCCAGCACCACGCTGATGGACAGCAGGAGCCAGTGGCGGAGGCCGATGTACTGCTCCCAGAAGAGGAAGGGGTAGCCGTTGGGGTAGCTGGAGAGCCCCAGGCTCGTGTAGTTGTTGCAGATGGTGCGGACTTTTTCGATCGCTTCCACGAAGTCTGAGGTGTCCCGCAAGCCGTTGAGGTAGAAAGGGAACTGAGCGTATTCGATGGGCTCTGCTGCTGGGACTGGACGGAGAGGGCAGAGGGAGAGAGGGCGCGGGGGTCAGCGGCCCCTTGCGGCTCCGAGAAAGGCAGACGGGCGCCAGCCTGGCGCGGAGGCCATGCGGCCAGCGCTAGCCACACCAGACGTGCGCCCCCGGGTTCTCCGTAACGGCAACGAGCGGAGAAAGAACTCGGCCGGAAAGCCCGCTTAGGGCACCGCTGTCCCCGCAAAGGACAGCCTTCAGGGCTTCACAACTGCAATCTTCGGTTTAGAAAATTTTAAACAATAATCAACCTTTGATTTTTCTTTTCTTTCTTTTTTTTTTTTTAGGGGAAGAGGAGCCTGTGATCTTTGTATTTACTTAACCTTAGATTTTAATCTTCTAAAAGCAGTCGCTCTTTGTCACGGGTCTAAACAACTTAGGGATTCAACTGTGGGAACGTTTGTTTTGTTCCGCCGACACAAGTGAACATACTACGTTCAAACTGTTCTACACAGTCACTGATGAGGACAGAGTAACTCGAAAGTCATGCTTTCCTGAGAAAAACGCTTAGCTTTCTTATCCTTTGAGTGATCTAACACACTTAAACCTTCCATGCTTCTTTTTTAATGCAATGCTAAGTCTTCAGCAGCAGGGGAAGAAATCCTTACACAACAAGCATTTAGTTACTGCCGTTGTGTGTTCCAGACCCTTTGGGGTCATTCAGCTGACTTGCTAAACATGATTTGCCCTATTATAATCTCAACTATAAATTTTCATTAAGACAAGCCTTGGCTGCTTGCCACAGGGCTCTGAGGTTTACGTACAGAGAAGCACAACCCGCCTGCTCTCCGGCCATGTTCGCAAAGGGACCTGTCTTCTCTCTCACGTCCTCCCTCGGCCTTGTGGCCAGGGTATAAGCTACTAATATCTCTAACGTAAATGCAAATTAAATCCATCCAGAACCACCTTTCAAAGTCGGGGCTGAGAGGTGAAAAGGAAGAGGACGCTGTTGTATACAGACTTTTTCTGCTCTGGTTTAAACAGCCTTGACAGAGTACAGGTGCTTGGTGGCTTATAGGAATGACCCAACTTGCCAAAAATCCCTTCAACACCAGAGTTGACAAAGTTAAGATAAACATATAATCCCCGGCGATAAAACTTTGCAATAGTAAAATAACACTCAACCTGGAGGCGTCCCCAGCTTTCACATGGAACAGCTGGCATGAGAGAGAGATGCCTGGTGGACGTCTTAGAGTTAAAGCCACAGAGGGAGATTAGAGACTCTTATTTCTCAACGTGATCGAGTAGGAGTTGTATTCGATTTCACATCCTCATCTGTCTCCCAGAGTTTTAAACTAAAAGAAATATATTGTTCTGTTTACACTTTTGAACCCCGGGGAGTGTCAACGGACCAGGGCTGTGACCGAGCCGGACGGACAGGGTTGAGGGAGCCTCCATTGAGTCCCGGGCCCAGCGGAGGGCTACTTACTTCTCAGCCTGGTCTCTGGCATGTAGTCGGCTTTGTCGTGGACCCACTCAGGACGGTGAGGCCGGAGGTTGGCTTGCGAGGCGGCGTAAGCCACGGGGTCGTTGCTGACCCACGCGGTCAGGTAGATGTAGAAAGCGCTGGGGTTAATGATGCCGTCTGCATCCACCAGGCGCCGCTTGGTCAGCTGCAACGTGGGGAGAGCAGAGGCCTTTGAGAATGGGGCTTGGGGTGGGTGAACACACTCCCGCCTAGAGAGAGCAGAAGCAGAGCTCCGCACCAGCATTTGCAACAAAGAAGAGAATGCCTGCTGCTTGAAAACGTAGAAAATCCATCAGAACACCTTTGGTGTTTTTCAAAACGTGCTTATCAGACGATGCAGCAATCAGCATGTTTATAACACACACACACGCGCGCGCGCACACACAGAGTCCTGCAGATGGCCCAGGAATTGACTGAACCAATTAAATCTGAACGCTAGAAGACTGTCTGCAGCCAAGGCGGAGAATGAACAATCTGGAGAAACATATTTATAGGAGGGGAAGGGGGGAAAAAAAACCTGGCAAGAATCCCCATCCACGTCTGTGTGCAGTTAACCTCTGCTGTTAACACTGAAGGAAATGCCACCCAGTAAATGGAGGAGAGCTATAAAAATAAAACAACATCTGTATAAATTTTGCTAACACTAGCCTCCTATGACCTGTGTAGTCAAAGAATGCCCATCGCCCCAGAAAGTGGAAGGGACGGTGCACGACCACGGTCTTTCTGGGACTCCCATCCTGAGAGGGGTGGGCACACTTAGCACACCAGATCCCGTGAGGAAGCCGAGCGCTCCGCTCCCTGTAAAGTGGGCCTGTGGGCTCTGCTTAGGTGAAGACGCCGTGAGACAGACACACAGACACGTGCACACACATACATGTGTGTTTTTTCCCGTTTCCTTTAGATTCAGGCCTGGTTCCAGTACTTTTGGTTTTTTTTTAAACAAAATGAAAAACATCAGAAGTTAATAGAGGAGGAGTGAAGGAAGGAAGAAAGTGGAAGAGAATGAAAGAACTAAATTTCAGGGATCTGGATTCAATTAATGCACAGGATATAGAACAACTGTATGTCTTCAAGCAGTCTCTGGAATTACATGGTACAGCTCATGGCCTCCGTGCACACAGCACGCTTTCTCCCTCCCAGGCAAAGGGAGTGATGTCCGGGGGCCCGGCCCAATCACATTTGTTCCACGATGTCCCTGGTCCCCAAAGCCCTACCCAGCCCCCGGGCATCCCCCTGCTATCTCTCAGACAGGCCCCTCTGCCCACATCCTTGTCAAACCTGACAGCATGCTGCATGCGGCCATAAAGCACTGAGTTCACACTCCATAATAACTCTGAACAATGTACTTTGTAAATCTGTCACCTTTAATGCCAGCAAAAAAGGGGAGACAATAAACAGAGCTGCTGGGAAGATCATTAGCATGACGGTTTTCTGCCTGAAGGTGAGGCCAGTAAGCTACAAAGAGCAGAGAGAGGGGGATCCGGGGAAGCCAGCACTGGTGCTGGACTCATCTGAGATCTGAAGGGGCCAAACACCCTCCCCGGCGTGCCTGGGGGACTGAAAGGGATACGCTGGAATCCAAATGTCACAGCAAAGAGGCACATGCGGTTGGAGAATGTGATCAGCGAACAGAAACAGCTCTTCTTCCTTCAGGGAATGAGAACCACGAGTCCAGAGTCCCGGGACCTGCATTTCCACCGCCGCGCCCCATGGGAGCAATCTGTCTGTCCTCTTCCACCCCTCAGGCCAGAGCGGCCCAAAGGAGTCAAACGTAACCAATCTCCTCTTCCTTCCAGTAGGCGTTCCTCACCCACCTGTTCACCCCAAATCCTATTCATTCAAATTCTGCTACCCAACAGATCCATCTTTCCAAGTTTGAATATAATCAAAAACCAGTACGGTGACAAGGACCGGAATTCGAAAGAGAACAATACAACACGGCGTGTCTAACACCTGGAAGAGCCTGCTCTGCCTATGCTTTGCTCTGACAACTGGTCTGGAGGCAGGTGACGCCCTTGTCCCCACTTGACAGATGAGCAGGGTGAGGCTCCCTGGCTTGCCTGCGGTCACACAATTAGCCGCTGGGATGAAGAGAATTAGAGCCAACTCAAAACTCTCTTCCAGCCCCGAAGCCTCAGGTCTGCAAAGAGCACGGGCTGGGACCGCAGACTGTCAGCCAGGCTTCAATTCGGGGTGGCAGCGGCCTCCAAGCTCTGCTCAACAGCGCCCCCCGACACTCCCATGGTGTGCGGCGGTGAGAGTACCTGACTGATGTCGATGGGTTTATCGCGGCTGCCGGTTTGCACGAGGAGTTTGTAGGCAAGGACCCCATCGTCTGATCCATTTTTGTAATTGTTTGGCATGATTTTCCCAGTCTCCCAGTCACTGTCAAATGCATCCTGAAGTCCTAGAAAAGGCAAATGTGTGTGACACATTATAACTCTGCATCAGAGTGACCCTGGTCCCGGGGGGCGGGCGGAGGGCAGCGAGCAGGACGGCGGAGTGTCTGCCATCCACCCCTAACACCCTGTATTCCACGTGCACTTGACCTCACGTCATATCGTTAGATTTCTCGTGAATGAACTTCAGGTTGCTAATAATGACTGCTCCAAGGCAGAAGGGGGGAATATTCATTTCTAGGAAACAAATATACAAGTTTCACCGCAACCCCGCGTCCCCAACACTCCCCTTCTCCTCCCACATGACAAGAGGAAGCCAGCGAGCCCGGGAGGGCGGGCGGAGTGTGGCAGACACAGCAGGCTGGGGAGCTGTTCCATGCCCCCGTCAGGTGCCAGGCCGCGGGTTCTCCCACACAACCAGAAACTCCACCCGGAGCAGGAAAAACACATTCGCGCGCCCAACTTCCAACAGCAACTCAGCTGCTTCTCCAGCCTGGGGTGAGCTAACAGGCTTCTGTCAATTTGTTCCATCTGTTCGACTTGTGGAGCTAACACAAGCTCTGGGATCGGCTGTCAGGTTGTGTAAAGATCACAGCCAACACCTATTCACTCTCAGGGCTCTCTTCCCCTCTGCCACCCTTCCTCGGAGGGAGCGCGCCGGCCGCGGGGGAGAAGGGGAGGGAAGGGAGGGACCCCGAGCGCGTGTGTGCGGGGAAGTACCTCACAGGGTAAATGCGGATCAGATTGAGAACAGGAAGCCACAGGCCAATACAAGGGGGCTCTGTGAGAACAGATGACAAACCGCAAGGCCGGGGAGGGGAAGAAAGAGCTCTCTGGGCTTGGGGGATGGGCGAGCCCACCAGCCCACCACACACAGCTGCGCTCGGCCTCTGTAATCAAAACCATCATTACAGACCTGACGGTTTGGCTACAGCTGTAAAGAGATAAGCGTGTTGGAAGAGAAAACAGGGCCCTGGTGACCCGGCCTTAGGGTCTGAGCGATCCAGGCATGCACGCTCTCCTCTGACACCCCCACCCAGCTTCCGTCACCCGGCTCCCCCCAGTTCACCTCCCAAGTAGAACTCCCGTGCCCCAGCAGCGCAGGAAACCACATTTCTGAACAAGCTGCACATGCGTGGGTTAGACACGGCCAGCAAGAAGGGAGGTTTGATTTCATTTCACGACCAGCCCCGAGGGACTTCCAAGACCCCCCCCCACCTCCGCCTCCGCCCCCCACTCCCTGAAAAACGCACACCCAAGACTGGTTCCGTCGGCGCTCAGGATGGTTAAGCTCTTGGGCTGTGAAGTTGGGGGACAGGGGAGCACAGGACTCTCTGCTCCTCCTTCTCTAAACTAAACCCTCCTTCGACTTTGCTGTGGGCACTGTGTTTGGAGGAGCAATTTGGGGGTGAGGCCGGTGGACTGGGTGGTGAAAGCAGGCCCTGTGAGGGTGAGCGTGGAGGGGCGGGGAGACCACCGGGAGGGCCCCGCTCCCGACTCACACAGCCTGGTTTTCAGAGCGAGACCTGCACACAACAAGCCGTACTGAACAGATGTTTTTTTATTACCTAGAGCCTTTTTTTTCTCTGTTTTTGAGAAAAATAAACAGGAGAGAAAAAACAACCCTTGCCCCCGCCCCCAGCCCCCCACCAAAAGAGGCCTGTGCTGCCATAATAGAATTTTCATCACTCCATGGCTTGCACAACACTTTAACCCCTTCCTCTTGACCCGTTAATTCTGAGGAGCAGCACGTGCTTCTAGGGAGCACTGGGCTGTCTCAGCATTTTACAGTGATGGCTCCTCATTTAATTTTTAAAACAGCCTCCAGAGGTAGCCTATTCTTATCATGGTCCCCACTTTACAGATGAGGAAACTGAGGCCTGGAAAGGTGAAGTAACTTGAGGAAGGTCACCTAGCAGGTAAGCGGCGGAGCCAGGCTTTGAACCCAGGCAGGCTCTTCCAAAGTCAGCCTGAACCACTGCTGCACTAAACTGCCCTGACTGCGCTCTGGTGCCCAGGAGGCATCCGCGGAAGGCACCATGGGGAAGGTGAGCAGCGTTAACTCGGGTGCCAATGACATCTGGTGGCAAACAGGAGGTCGTAAAAACTCTGAGTGCAGTTTTAAGATATTTATACTCGAAGACTTTTGGGACACCCTGGAGTGAAACGAAGAAAGAAAGATCTGATTTGGGAAGGTCACCCCTGCTGGCAGTTCAGTTCAACTCATCATCTACGCTGCTGACCCCCTCTCCCCCCGACTCGCTATTCGCGCTGCTGGGGATTCAAAGATGGATGAGAAACAATCGCCGACTTCATGGAAAAGTCAAGTCCTTTCGTAATTAGTGTAACATTTTCTAATTATCAAGAAGCTCAACCAACAATGGTTTGGCCTCACTGCACACACATCAGCCAATCTTGACACAAAACCAGAACAAGGATTGGCTCCCACTCCCCTCGGCCCACGTCTTATATTCCGACACACGTACACTGTAGGAGACAACTGTGACGTGTTACTTTACAGCAAAACATGGAAGTTTTAGCTAGAACTTTTTCGTTTAAAGTATTTTATACTAGAAATTATTTTCTAGTGTGAAGCTCAGAGTTAATTATCCCAACTGCCAACTTTTCTTTGACAGGGGACCCTCAAAGGAAAATGTGAATCTAAACTTTATTTGCACAATTCAGTGTGAAATTTAAACAAATGCCATTTGTACATGATTCAGTGTGGCTTTGTATCTCCAGCTTCACCTTAGTTGCATGTATGTTTACAGGTGACACATGAGATAATTTCCATATTACCACTATGTATTTTTGTAAGTAAACCTCTCCCCCAGCCAGAAAAACTCCTGGAATGTTGCTCAAGACCAATGGGATGACATGGTTTGTAATCGTAATTCCATTAAAAACCAATGAGGTTTTAAAAACTAACCATCAACTTAACAACCAAACAAAATGTTTTGAAGGAAAGCTGATTTCAAGGATCAGGAGGAAATGTTCGAACACCAACTCAGCCACTCTGTTAGGCCTGAAAAACGTCTGGGCGGCCAGCGGTCCCACTCCTTGGCCACTCTGGGGGCAGTGCTCTGCTGGACCTGGCAGTCAGACGCAGAGGTCTAGGGCTGGCTGGGATCCCGACCTGGGGACGTGAGTAGATCTCACTTGGTCTAGGTGAGCGCTGTCCACTTAGCAATCACAACCCGATTCAGATGCACCTTTTAAAGAGATTCTCAAGTCCGACTGCTTTAGGACTTTAAAGGGATGAAATCGTGGGGATAATTTACAATACGCTGCAAAGGTTACCCCTCTGCACTGCCTGGAGACAGCACGCTTCTGCCCCCTTCCCAAGCTCTGCCTAACACGCCATACTGAGCATCCAAAGGAATGGCCCAAGACACCGAAGCGAATTCCACAGCGGCCCTCCTCTGCACAGAGGCTGGCGGCGCACTGCCGCTCCCTTTGTCACTTGTGGTAAGTTATTTGCATGTCTTTGGCCAATGGAGAAAAAATGAACAACAGTGAATCTCCCAACTGTCTGGTCCTCTTTTGACTCACTGTCCGAAAAGCAGCGCTTCCCAAAGTACTGTAAAAAATAAGACTAGGAACAAGTTAACGTCATGAGCGTGTTAAAAAATGATGTTAATATCATGTAGCTCTCTCTGCCCCCACCCAAAAAAAAAAGAGGTGAAATCTGGTACACACGCATGAACAACATTCTAGGAACACGCGTCAAGGCCAGAAATGGGACTGAATAATTTTCAGTCAAACTCCAGTTGCTTACCATTTCATGCACTCACAGGGAAACTGGCTGTGTACACGTGTACTGACTTAAGACCAAAAAAGGCACTTAAATCTGTGTTTAAACAAGCCAAATTAAGTGGGAAATTAAGACAATCATTTGGACAACTGAAGCCAAAAAAACTGCTGGGAGGCGGAGGGGGGGTGTCCATAATTATTTGGGTATTTCAGTAAGAGTATTTTTGCTTGAGTTGTGTGGGTAATTATCCCGCGTCCTCACTTCACTCTGCGTGTGTCAACACAGAGTGAATGAACAGATGTTCTTGGAATCCCCGCGTACATTCACGCTCAGTCAGCAGTCAGAAGCAGACTGAGGCCGGTTTTCTCTTCAGTTTACTCCACCTCCTAGAAGTGTCTCTGAAGACGAGGTAAGAAGCTCAGGCATTTCACAGCAGGACTGGATTATTTATGAAATACTGTGAGATGTGGTGAAGCATTTATGTTCGCTTCATAGGCCAAATCAAAAGATCAAAATATGGGATTTTAAATTACATTCAACAATGATGCGACGTCTGACGGTGCAGTAAGCTATCATTTGGCAGCGAATCAGCACAGAAATCCCATCAACGCTTGGACTTCACTTGGTCACCAAATAGCCACCCAAAACCAAAACAAAAAGACTAAAGGAAGCAGCCAACTGCTTATTCTATAACATACTTTTCTATTTCCTACTGTGTCCTCATGAACTCTTTTTTAAAATTTTCTGAATAGACTATTTTTTGCAGCAGTTTCAGGTTCACAGCAGAACTGAGCAGAAACTAGAGAGTCTGCACACAGCCCTCCCCACCCACACCCCACCCACACACACTCCCCTACCTGCCCTCAGCATCCCTCATCCACTGGATGAACCAGCATGGCTGTGTCCACATCGCCCATTTGAATTGTCTGTATCGTTTGATAGGCAAAAGCCAGATTTGGGAGCTGCCCCAGAAACATTCTATGTAAGAATTTTAAGCGAGACTTAGAAGTCAATGAAACGTGTCAGTGTCACGCTGTGACCCGACACCTTAACAGAGTGGACCAGGGGACCCTGCGGACACTGAAGGTACCAAAGGCCACATAAACGGCGAGCGTGTGCCAAGGGCGAGGGCCCTCCCGCAGCGTCTTACCTTGGAGCCAGTCTCTGAAGTAGTGCAGCCACATCTTGGGGAGCTGTCTGTTTTCTTCCAACATGACATACTTCACATCACTGAAACTCTTATGAAGGTCGTAAAGTAAGTGCTGGATGTTTGGGTAGTCCGCTTTCTGAGTGACTATATACATGTTGTAGAAAGAAAAGTATTTGAACTGTGCAGCAATGAAGTCGTACTCTCTGGTTTCCCGAGGCACAATGTCCGTGAGGTCCAGCCCGTCGCGCACTCGGGTGGTCCCGTACAGGCTGACCCCGAGCAGGCCCAGGAAAAGGAAGATCACCACGACCTGCAACAGAGTAAGAGGCAGGAGCTCAGACTTGAAGGAACGGGTCCGACTCGTCCTTGACAAAGGTGAGCTGTGTGGTCTGTGCCTTTTACCATCACACGGCCCTGGAGGGGCACGTACGGGTGGTTCTCCCAGAAGGAAAAGCATAAAATCATAGACACTTCGCTCTTACACTCGCTCATGAAGAGTAGTGTTTAGAATGTACGGGGTTGATCTAAATTCAGAGAAACACTCGCCCCAGAGAGACTCACTCCTGTAGAAGACGGGCTCATGAAAAGTCCCCCACTCTACCTGGACTGACTCCGCGGGGGGCCTGAAATCTGTCACACCCCAAGCAGCAATGGGATGAACCCCAAAGGAGCCTGCTCTGGTATGTTCTGAAGACCAGGAGGCGTCTTCTGTGTCGGTAGTTACCTTGGCTTTTGGTTTCAAGAGGAATGGAGCGTAGTGCTTCTCGGCAAAAGATGAGAGTGTCCACTTGGTGCAGGGGGGCTCGAGGCAGTGGAGGCTGGAGTCGGAGAACTGGGAGAGCAGGTCCCTGGTGGAGCTGGTGCTCTCGGGGCTCTGGCAGCTGAGGGCGTCCTGGGCCAGGGCGACGGGCTGCACGGAGATCTCGGAGCGCGGCTCGGCGGTGGTGTAGTACACGTGCGTGTGCGGGTCGTACTCCGTGCGGAGCTGCACCGTGGACTGCATGGTGATCTGCGTCTCGTGGGCGAAGCTGTGGCTGCTGTAGGGAGGCGGGGGGCTGTAGCGGGTGCTGTCGTGAGCCTCCGTGTAGGCCTGGGGTTCAACCTGAATCACTCTGCTGACACAGGGGCTGAAAAGAGGGGGAGACAGGTTGTGATGCTGTCCCGAAACGGGCAAACTGTGCTTTCATGTTTGCCAATGACTGATCGTATCCGTTTTACACCGCTCTGGTGTAGGAGCAAAGCATAGGATGGACTTCCACAAACATCATCGGGTCTGTCTGTCTGGACACAGACACAGGTGAGCCAAAGGAGGCCAGATGGATGGCTGGTCCTGGATTTGGCTGACAAAAATCAAGTTACCTGCTGACGAACCTCTTTAACGCATAATGCCTTAAAAAAAAACAAACCCAAAACCAGACCACCCACAGGGCTGTATTCTTTCCAGATGGTGGTTTTCAATCTTTGTTCCGCCCTAATCCATAGAGGTAAGACACATTCCCAGCAATGAGCAATGTTGATGTGCAACTCATTGATCTTGTGTATCAAAAACTCAAGGCTGTGAGAACGTCCAGCCAGCGGAGGAGAGAAGGCCGGGTTCCTCCCAGGAAGCATGTCCCCTGCCTCCATCACACTGTTCACTACGTTTCCTTCCAAGTTCACAGACTAGAAGGTTCTCGAAACATTACCACTCTGCTCCCCCACAAATAAAGGCCACGGCAGACAGAAAATGTACCTTGTGAAGCAGCAGAAAATATCCAATCTCCTGTCCTCACGTCGATACAAATCCATGCTGAGAATTGCAGGAAAAATGAGCAGAACCATAGCAAAATTGAACACCACTACTACAGCCGCCTGAGAGCAGAAAAAAAACATAGAGGTCACCAATACATCTCCTCCTGGTCAGAGGACTGCTTTGAAAATAAAGGGGTTTTACACAACATCTGCCATTCACTCTCCTGTTGCCATGCTTACATCTGGAATAGATGCTGGAGTTTCTCACCCCATTGCTTCTCTTCCATCTTTAAGAGACTACCTGGCTGGGACAGGAGGGCCCCCATCAGTCTGACCCTTTCCATCTCTCTCGTCACTCCATGAGCCCGCAGGGTACAAACAGAGGAACTAAATCAGCATTTCTCGCAACCAAACCAGGTCTACAAAGGCAGAGCAGGGAATATGCTTGAGACGTTTTCATCGAAAACAAAAAGAAATAAAATTTCCTTCTTACAATGTTTCTAAGCGTTTACGCAGTCCTGATCTTACACTTAGCAAATTTATGTATAAAGTGGATTGAGTATATCAAAATGGCACCTTGAAAACAGGAAATAAAATTTCAAACATGTCCCCACCCCAGCTTTTTAATAGGCACATTCCAAATAGCCCCCGGAGTCGCCTGGGTGGGGGGCGGGGGTGTGAGCGGAGCGATGTAAAAGGTCAAGGAGAGTTAAAGCAGCAATTCCGATGTGTGATTCCAGTGTGCAGAATAAGCAAGTACAGATTCAAAAGTCACTCCATAACCTAGAATAAACACGGACCTAGATTCTGTGTTGCTTTGGCAAATCTCCTGCTGACCTAGTAAAAATTACACAATTGGGCTGTTAACAGGGGAAAGTCAACAGAGGACAGCTGAAAAGGCTCTCCCCTCCAGAAAGGCACAGAAAGAAGCTGCAGGAGGAACAGTGCAACTGGATGCTAAGGAACTAAGAAAACACCGGAATTTTTTTTTTTTGAAAAATAAAAGGTTTTAGGAGGTTTTTCAAAAAACTGCTTAGTTTTAAAAAACCTTCTCAAAATAGGTAAACGTCTCAGGGTGAGGAATGAAACCTGAGGACAGCTGGTACCTAACCCTATCAGAGGAGAACCTCGCCAGGGGCTTTTGATAGTAATTGTGAATTCATGCCCAAGCAGAACTACCAAGCCCCCCTTTTAGAAAGATGCTTTTCAGGAACTAATTTCCTATCAAGTCTACAAAAGCAAAAAGTAACCAAGAGTCTCCTAAAAATGACCTCACCCTTCTCTTCTTAGTCTGCCTTGAAAACCTCATCAATTCAAAATATATGAAACATGTTAATGACCACACAAACGTACGTAAGGGACTTCAGAGGCCTGCCATACAGGCTTATAAACAGATCACTACTTTGACTAGAGGGTTTTTCTAAGGGACAAATACTTTGAAAAGTCAGGGCACTCTCCTGGGCATGGAAGACACAGAGACGGTTAAGACAAAATCCTGCTCTCAAGACAGGCACAATCATGAACAAATTACAATTCGTGGTGATAAATAAAAAGTCGTTAAGAGCATGCCAGGGTTGCAGAGCAGCTCAGAGGAGGGTGAGCATGTGGTGGGGGGGGGGGATATGTGGGGTGGGAGGGTGGTCGAGGAAGGTTTCTCAGGGGATGGAGCAGACAAAAAAGGACTTTGGGGGGCACGGGGAGGAAGGATGCAACACAGAGGGAATCTGATAGGTGGTTCTGAGAGGGACGCACCCAGCACAGGCCAGGCAGCGCTGCTGGGTTTAAAATTCTGTTGGGGGATGAGAAAGGGGACGGAGTGACAGGAAGTCAGGCAGTTAAATCACACACGATTCACTTGAGTCCTACAGCATCCGGGAGGCAGACGCTAGTGCGCTACTGAGGCTGTTACCTAATAAAGACCCCGCGGTGCAGAGGAAGGTCACCCAGTAAATCAGATCCAACGAGTCCCCAGCCCCACAGGGACTTGGGCCTTCCTGTCAGATCTGGCCACCTCCTGAGGGGACAGACCTGGGGCACTGGGGCAGGGCTAGGACTTCTGACCAACTAGACCACGGGGAAGAACAGGTCTGATCCTCGAGGATTTTTTCCAGGGAAATTAACCTGGGGGTAGAATCCTTTTGTCTTTCCTTTTTATTAACATTCATGTTTGGAATTCAGGAATGCCACGGAGACAAGAAACGCTAGGTATCCCATTTTAAACAGAAGTTCCTGAGGGCGAGGGCAGAGACTATGAAAAGACAAGCCGTGCAGGTGTGTGCAGGCAGCCCAGGTGTTCTGGCCGGAGCAACACTGACGCTCCCTGAAGTGGCAGCTGAAGGTATCTGAGACCAGCCTCGTCCATCAGACACGGGCGATGGGCCTCCTGCTCGGTCTCTCTGCGATGGAAACGGAGCAATGAAAGGAGAAACCCAAAGAAGCTTCCCATCAAAACTGTCCAGTGATTTACTGGATACACAGGGAGAATATTTTCTGATGACATAGTGGAACTTCAGCCTCCCCTAAAATGCACCGAAACGGTAAGAACAAACTGAGGATTTCTCGGTAAGGGAGAAATGTCACTGCTAGAGGAAAGAAGAGTTTAAGAAATTGTAAGTAAATCTGAAAAGATGGTGGGGATGATCTGGCACCATCAATCAACCCTAAATGCGGCGCTTAGAGGAATGCCCCATTCTCCAGCAAAGCACCTATGGGTGGCCCCATGGAGACACCGCAGGGCAGAGGGGAGCCGGCCCCGGCCAGAGGGGCCCTCATCTAAACCCTCTCACCATCTGGAACAATAAAGCATTCTGTTCGGGAGTTTCCATTGACGAACAAGTACCATTCAGTTACCAGCAAAGCCTCAGTGTGGGGCACTGGTTCTCCGAGAATCACAGACAGTGCCACTGCTTTCTGGTATAGAGTGTCATTTGGACAGGTGGATGAAGATCGACAAGGAGGTCTAAGACAGTTTCTTTGGGGAAAAAAATCTGTAATTATTTTGGTACGGTTACAAAATTGGAAAAGCTCCCCAGGGGAAAATTGTAAAGTCACGTGGGTTTATTACTGGACAGAACCACACTGGACATGTCCATTTTTATGCTTAATCTGTAACATCCTGGAAAATGCAAACACAAATGACTACTTGAAGCACCACTTAACACAGCTCACCAAAGGGAAGAGAAGCTACGAAACGGTCAATTTTGAATGTCAATACATTTAAAAGGGAGCCAAGTGTCAAAGTTCTGATGGCTGCTGCAAAAATCATGGCATGCCCTTCAAAAAAAAAAAACAAAACAACTTCCTTTCATTTTTTGGTTTTGTTTATTTGAGTTGAGCCAGTGTCATGGGAAGCCATTCTTTCATAAATGAGGACTCCTAGAAGCTGTTGACGCAATGTTCTAAAGTGATAACTCTAGTGCTTTAGGATAGAACTGCAAAACCAGTAATATTCATTTCATCTCAGTCAGGTGCTTACCTTGGGGGAATTTAGCGTCCTGGATTTTCTAAAAGGTGTAAGGAAAACTCATGGAGCTTTTCAGACCACCACACCATGGGATATCATTAAAGGGGGGTATGCCTGATGCCTCGCCAGTGTACTGAGAGGGGAGGGGAGAAAATGAGAGAGGGGGGCAAGAAGAAAAGAAGGGGCATGAGGCAGAGCAGGTAAAGAACAGCGAGGGGAAAGGCAGGCAGAGAAGGAGACAGGCGGGAGGGAGGGTCCCGCTGTTAAAAGGCAACATCCCGACACCGGACTCTGCCGTGCGTGAGGCAAGAGCGGGTACCCAAGGGTGCCGCGCACACGCCAGCCTGTGCAGAAGGCGCTGTTAAGACGGTAGCTGTGGCCACAAACTAGTGAGCATCTTTATCTTCCACATTACTGAGCCGTTACGATACATTTTCATTTTCTTTGAACTTCGGCCCCACTTTCAGATTTAAAATTATTTATTTATTCCCTCGCTATTTCTATTATATACATATTTGCAATAAAATGACAATAATCTTCTCTTAATATTTTTCTTTTCGGAGGGGGGAACTGGTGGCCGTAGTGATGGGTACAAAAGCTAAACAGCAAACAAGTCTGGTGTCCCAAACACAGCAGGATCAGTAGTTACTCAGGGTTTTATCGGTAATTAGTGAAACGAGATTCCTCTATGAAGGCTGAAAAGGAGCTGAACATATATTGACAAAAATATAAATAGAAACCTAATCTATGATTAGTCAGTTTCTCTTCCTGGTCACAATCCTTAGCACGTTTTGGTGATCAAAGGGAGTAAAGCATATGAAAAAGCTGAAGGTAGTAACTGTTTAAAAAATGGTTTCCTTTAAAAAGGAATTGGCCATCTCCTGAATTACCATGACACCGTCAGAGGGGAAGGAAGAAAAGGGGAAGCCTTCCTCTTTCTTGGAAAACAACTGAAGCTTCAAAATTTGAATTAATTCACAAAACCTCAATAATAATATCCTTGAGATATAAAACCCTAAAGCATTGCAGGCTCAGGAAGACCACGCCTTTAACTGGCCAAGCAGCCTTCTCCATCTGCGGCGACGACCAATGTCAGGATTCCTGTGAGTTTCAAGCATCGGGACAGCAATGCCAGGACTTCACACCAAGCGCAGAACGGACCCCAGCTGCATCCCTAGTCTAGGGAGCTCGCCATGACTATGTTCACATAAGCCGGCTCTTTGTTTGGAAAAATGTCTCCGCGGCCTCTAGGTGTGAAAGGGCCTGGGTTGCAAGGAGAGAGCAGAGCAATGAGGAACCACATTGCTCTGCGTAAGAAACAGAGAGGAATTCTTGAGTTTTCCTGGGCAGCTTCAGAGTGGAGTAGGGAACCAAGAGGAAGAGAGGAGGCGACAGGAGAGACGAACCAAGGAAGGAGAGGTGACAAGCCAGGGCGGCCAAGGGACCACTGTGGGCAGAGTCTGGCCAACAGCTTCTCACACAGCGGTACCCAACGCTCAGTGTAAGTTATCACCCAGCTGGGGCTACACTGCAACTGCATCCTGCTGTCAGAGAAGCCTGCTCTCTCTCCACAACGGCCTTGTGCAGGGGCTGCTTTAGGGGAGTCGAGAGAGGGCAGCCAGCAGGGGAGGGGAGGAGACACAGGAACAGACTGGGGTTTGGAAGCAGGATGGCCAAGCGCTGGCCGCACCACGGACCAACCCAAAGGCCTCGTGATTACCTGGGGCCGGCGCTGACTCGCATCCCACATGGAATGGCCCTTGTACCACCTCAGTTTAACTATAAAGGAGAGCGCCATGCCCACAGGCACGGGGCCATGAGGACACCCAGGCCACAGGCTTCCGGGCCAGAGGGCTTGAAAGGAAACAAAGAGCCCTAGAAATTTTTCAGAGGAAGTATCAGGGTTATTGCTTAAAGCAGCCCCATCCAGAAGAGAGAGTCCCAGATGCGGGCGGGCGGTGGGCCCCTACGCACAGCAGAGGGGGGGAAGCAGACCCGGGGGGCCCGCTGTCAGCGCAGGGCTCGCAGGTCCCCTCCGACTCAGTCACCCACCTGGAGGGAGAAGGCCCGCAGGGCGGGGATCGGGATCAGCGCGGCCATAAAGAAGGCTGTGACGTTGCTGATGGATGTGAGCGCCACGCTGGCCCCCGTGCGCTTGAGACACTCTCCGGTCCTGTCCTGAGGACGAGAAACCACAGTGCTGAGAGCTACAGAGCACGGAGCGCGGGGACAGTTCACAGACACGGCGGTGCGCAGTGCTGACGTCGGGGGACAAGCAAGGACTGCCTCTGGCTTTCCCACCAGCACCAACGTGGAAAACTTTCTCAGTGCTATCTACACAGTCCCGTGTGGTTCACGGCTATTAGTATCCAAAGCACAAAGCTGCAAGGTAACGATTTAAGTAAAAAAAATTTTTAATTTTCTTTTAATTGGAGGCACTAGGGATTGAACCTAGGACCTCGTGCATGCTAAGCACGTGCTCTACCACTGAGCTCTACCCACAGCCCATAAGTAAAGGTTTAATATGATTAAAAAGGGGCAATGGGAAATGAAGGCAAAGTGTTTAAAAAAAAACAAAACCCAAAGAAACAAATATGAACTTTGGAGAAAGTGTCCTGAGATGCTTCTAACTTACTTTACTTGTTCAGAGCTAGTAACCTGTCATCTAACTTGGGACTGAAATATATACTTGGGCCAGACTGAGGAAAATGGAAGGCCAAACACTCAGGAGCAAAAGGGGCTTCTGCTGTCCCCAAAGCTTCCCTCTTCTGTCTTTCTATTACCTCAAAAGGGATTCTTTTATTCTGTCCTGTTTCACTGAATGCGTGTGCCAGAAGGAAAACATCGTCCACACCAACGCCAAGAGCAAGAAATGGCAAAACCTGCAGTGAAAACAGGGGACAGTGAGCGGTGACGTTAGACACACGAGGGCCAACTCTGATCATTCTAAAGCTATTTACAACATTGCCGCCAGCACCCCCGGTAGCCACCCGAAGGACAGCTTACATGAACTCATGAGAAGAGCTTAGTTTTATCTGACAGTTAAATCCCCAGAGCCTAGCAGTTTTAGCTCACAGTAGATCTAGTACGTTGCTATTTCTAAGCTCCATGCGCAATAATTTTTTTTAAGTTAATACATATAAGGAATCTTAACTCATCTACAAGCAGTGGTTCTCAGCGTGATTCTTAGAGCAGCATTGCTGGGAGCTGGCTAGAAATGCAGATTCTCCACCCCGACCCCAGATGGACTGCTGCAGAAGGTCTGGGGGTGGGGCCCAGCAATTAAAAAGTTTGCAGAAGCCCTCCAAGTGATGCTCAGGGTTGAGAACCACCGCTCTCCTAAATCGTCTAAACGCCACTGATAAATGGAGCATCTCTGCCTTGTCAACAGGCCCATTCAGACCTGCCCACCGTCCAGCGGTCCATTTAGAGACAGCACTCCCCTGAGGAATGCGGCATCCTAGCGGAAAGGACTAGAAGACCCTTTGGGAGACACACAGGAGGCTGGCTGGGCCGAGCCTCGGAGAGGGGTGTTTGTCAACGAACAGGGGACGGGTGGCTCCTTTAGTACCTGAGTTGTTGCAGCGTTAAAGGAAATCCCGATCAACGAGCACAGGCCCAATCCTGCAGCCACTGACAGTGCAACCAACAGGACGCCCGCCAGCCCCACGGCGCCCTGGGACCTGGAGCAGTCCCAGCGCAGCATGGTTAAACAGGCATAGGCAAGCTGCAAGCAGAACAGTGGGGGGGGGGCGGGGGGCGGGGAATTGGGGGGGGGGGAGGGGGAGGGACGACAAACAAAAGAACAACAACTAAGTAAGTAGTGTAGGAAGTACTATAGTTCCCTTCCCTACCCACCCACCA